CATTTTACATATGTGTACACTTAAAAATAGTGTGACAACATGTTTCCAGTGTGAACGGCCCCAAACACAAACCGACATCTCTCCTGCTCTCTTTTAATCTGTCAGTGTGATCATTTAGGAAACATCACAGTCCAATAGGATGCAAGAATATCACAATGAACGCTGCATCCAAAATGTAAACACACACATACACCAACAAACAGACTTTTCCTTTCCTCTCTCATAATTAAACAAATGCAAATATGGGTCGTTTCTCACTCTGATTATGTACATTATTTGTTCTTCTGACGCCTGACCGTCAAATCAGCAGTTTAAGAAATCAGGAATGAAGCGCAGATGCAATATTTACACGGTTTACAAACCATTCACAGCACCCTTTCCAAAAGCAGGTGCTCGTCAATCCATTGAAAACTAATACTAAATCGGTCATTAAAATATATACAGTTGGTTACAATGGCTCATAAAATCCTTTCGCATCTGTCAGTGCTAACAGCAAATGACATCGCTTCACCGCCTTTTCTGAAGAAACGCTTTCGTTCCTCAGTTTAAGATTCAAGCCACTGTTTAGCCATGCAAGCCAGTCTTACGAGCTGTAAAAGCACAGGTGAAATATGTGCCTTCTGTGGCGTAAAATCTCTCTTTCAGCCAGCCCAGACCGAATCTGCGGACATTCACATTTTCTGTGCTGATTCTGGATGAAATATTAGCATTCAAAACTGGTAAAATGTGTTAGAGCTGAGAGTAACACACCATCATTGGTTGTTTAAAGTAAAGATTTGCAATGTGACCAAATACATGCTGCAAGTAATTTTATATCACAGTAACAGTACAATGATTTTTTGAAATTGTAAATAAAATGAGGATTTTTGGAGTGCGTTTTACAAGAAAATACTGTTTCAGTCTTTCGACTTGTTTAATTTAAAGTTACTTGCTATTTCTTTATATTTAATTGTGAAATTTATTAGAAATTTCTGATGTTTGACCATATTTTTTATCTTTTTATGGACTCAACCCAAAAAGGTTTAGATTTCAATTCAAATAACAACTTATTTTAAAATCTGATTGGATGAGCCACATTTGGAGCTGTTGATATTTATGCAATAATACATGCACAAATTGTAATTCTGCAGATTGTAGATAAATAAATATCAATGTAATGCTTTACAATACGTTTCAATTAGTTAATGTTGGTTAACTACATCACTGCCTTGTTACAACCAAAACATGGACGTTTTTCAACAGATACGGAGACTAATTCAGTTTATACACAAGGTTCTTTATATTATTAATTATATGGTGTGTTATTTCTATGTTATTTTATTTTATTTTTAAATAAAATTAATTTTAATTTAATTTATATAATTTAATACATTATTATCTGAAGCTGAGGCCACATTTAAAGCTGTTGAAAATTTTTATTTTATTATTTTATTTTATTTTATTTTTTTATTTTATTTAATTTGTTATTTTTATTTTATTTCATTTTTAAATGAAATTAAACTTAATTTATATAATACATTAGAATCTGAAGCTGAGGCCTCATTTGAAACTGTTGAAAATTGTTATTTTATTTTTTAAATTTAATTTAATTTAATTTAATTTAATTTAATTTGAATTTCAAATTTGAAAATTGAAATTTAGCCAATATAGACACAACTTTTGATGCACATCAACTAAATTAATATAATCGATTGAAATATATAATTCCAGTTTGTAGATAATAAATATTAAGGTGATGCTTTACAATGCATAATGCATTTTAATACATTAATACATTACAGTATTGTTAACAGTTAATACAACTGTTCATTGTTAATATTAATAGTTAATAAATACATTTTCAATTTAATAATGTATTAGTTAATGTTGAAGTTGACATCATCTAAGATTAATAAATGCGTTAGAAGAATTTTCAGTGTTAGCTCATGTTAACTAATAGAACCTTATTGTAAATTGTTAACGATAATAAAGTTTTTGCAGCTGTAAAAACCAAAAGTGAGATCATTATATGAAAGCATTATAAAATATTCGATATACGAACACAAGCATTCATGAAACTGATGAATGAGGCTTGTTCCAGGTCTCTGCGGCCACAGATTCGATGTGAGTCACGATAACACGCTTCGAACAGAACATAAAACCCAGTGGCATTTCAGTCAGACGCACTTCTGCTCTGATTCACTGCCTTTTAAGCACCAATGAGACGTCCTCAGGTAGAAGAAAATGGCTTTATAGAGTTCATTTCTCATAAAACAGCCATCTCAGTTGTGATTGCTCCGGGGAACGAGGTGCTTGAGTCCGACAGGCCAGAAAAGCGGAGGCTTCAGCAGCGGGACATGCGCTTGCGGTACTGCTCCACCAGGGGCACCAGGCACTGCGGAGAGCTGGCCTGCAGGAGGAAGGGGTGCTCCAGGAGGTCTGTGGCACTGGCCCGCTCCAGCGGATCCCGCGTCAGCATGCGCTTCAGGAAGTCCTTCAGCACCGGGGACACCTGCGGACGGACGGGACAAAATAACACATCAACGACCTGCAAATGCCTTGTTACAACCAAAACACGGACATTTTTCAACAGATATGGACAACAGTTCAATCATGTTTGTATCAGTTTGTCCACAATTTGATTTCTTTATATTATTAATTATTTTATATGGTGTTTTATTTTATTTTATTATTTTATTTTGGACACCAGTTCAAACATGTTTGTATCAGTTTGTCCACAATGTGACTTCTTTATATTATTATTTACTTTATATGGTGTTTATTTATATTATTAATTATTTTATATGGTGTTTTTATTTTATTTTATTTTTTATTTTATTTTGGACACCAGTTCAAACATGTTTGTATCAGTTTGTCCACAATGTGACTTCTTTATATTATTAATTATTTTATATGGTGTTTACAGGCCAGAAAAGCGGAGGCTTCAGCAGCGGGACATGCGCTTGCGGTACTGCTCCACCAGGGGCACCAGGCACTGCGAAGAGCTGGCCTGCAGGAGGAAGGGGTGCTCCAGGAGGTCTGTGGCACTGGCCCGCTCCAGCGGATCCCGCGTCAGCATGCGCTTCAGGAAGTCCTTCAGCACCGGGGACACCTGCGGACGGACGGGACAAAATAACACATCAACGACCTGCAAATGCCTTGTTACAACCAAAACACGGACATTTTTCAACAGATATGGACAACAGTTCAATCATGTTTGTATCAGTTTGTCCACAATTTGATTTCTTTATATTATTAATTATTTTATATGGTGTTTTATTTTATTTTATTATTTTATTTTGGACACCAGTTCAAACATGTTTGTATCAGTTTGTCCACAATGTGACTTCTATATTTATTGTTTATTTATATTATTAATTATTTTATATAGTGTTTATTTTATTTTATCTTATCTACACAGAGCATCCACCCACAACACTTTAGCATCATATTGGTGAGTTTTGCACTTCAGAAAATGTCAAAATCTAATTTTTTTTTTTTTCCACATATGACAGACAAAGGATTGTTTTGAGTTTAACACACATTTGAGATGCAGATTTTTTTGTTTTATTTTATTTTTATTTATTTGGCCGATTAAATTGGTTGACTAATTATTTTTCACATGTTTTCTTTTGTATATTCATGATACTAGGTTTAGCTTACTGTAAAGCAATGGTTTAGTTAATTTTTTATTATTATTAATCATATTTGTATTCATATAGTTAAAAAACTGTTTGTATGGCAAAACCTTTTGAGATGCAGGCTTATTAATTTATTCATGTCATATAATTGCATGTCAAACTAAATATCTTCAAATCGGTTTGACAATTATTTTATTTTGTGTTATTTTATATTTTATTTATGTGTTCTATCTATCTATCATCTGACTATCTATCTATCTATCATCTGACTCTATCCATCCATCCATCCATCCATCCATCCATCCATCCATAATCTGACTATCTATCTATCAATCTATCTATATCTAGTGTTTAAAAGTAGTATGTTTTTTGTTTCTGAAATAAGTATTTTTTGCTCACCAAGGCAGTCTTATTCAATTGTTTATGTCATATAATTGCTTGTCAAACTAAATGTCTTCAAATTAATTTGGAAATTATTTTATTTTATATTTTACTTTGACCATTTAACCATTTGACCATTGTATTTATTTAAATACAAATACAGTAAAATATTCTGAAATATCATTACAATTTATAATAACGGTTTTCTATTGTAACATATTTTAAAATGTAATTTATTCCTTGATGCAAAGCTGAATTTAAGCATTTTACTTGTTTTATTTTATTATTTGGCCCATTTCATTTGTTGACTAATTGTAAAAAAAAATTCAGTTAATAATTCAGTTAATAAAATAAAAAATAAAAAAAATAAAATAAAAAGATTTGAAATCGGATTTAAAAACATTTAGTTTGACAAGCAATTATATAACATAAATAAATGAATAAGACTGCATCTCAAAAACTATTTACTATACAAACAAAACCTGTTTTTGGACTACATATAAATTATATACAAATAGTAATAAATTAAAATAATAAATTACTTTACTGTAGGCTAAACCTAATGTCATGAATATACAAAAGAAAAAAATGTGAAAAATAAATAGTCAACTAATTAAATGAGCCAAATAATTATAAAATAAAATATAAATAAATATATAAATAAAATAAAACACAAAATAAAATGCGGAAAATTCAGCTTTGCATCACATGAATAAATTACATTTTTAAAAACATGTTGATTTGCTGCTCAAGAAACATTTCTGATTATTATCAATGTTGAAGACTTTGATAGGCTTCATATTTTTGTGGAAACCATCATATCTGTTTATTCTTCAGGATTCACAGATGAATAGAAAGTTTTAAAAAAACAGCATTTATTTGAAATACAAATCTTTTGTAACATTATAAAATTCTTTACTGTCACTTTTGACCAATTTGATGCATCCTTCATGAATAAAAGCATTAATTTCTTAAATAAAATCCTCCTGACCTCAGGCTTTAGAAGGGTAGTGTGTATATATAATTGTCTGAGGTTTGAATAGTGTGATAAGGTTCAGCCAGGCTAGAGGATGGACTCACGCGGCCGTCCAGCGAGAGCAGGATGGAGTCGCTCTTGATGTCTCGGTGTATGACCCCCTGCGAGTGGAGATACGCCAGCGCCTGCAGCACAGCCTCACACACGGTCGCGATCTGCTCCTCGCTCAGCCTGAACACAAGATCAGCCGCACGCTTACACAACTGTCCCGAGCTCTTCTTCATGCACCTGCTGTCTTTACAGCTCCTTCTGATGCTGCATATTAGTGCTGTTTACTAAGTGTGTGGCATCTCATTTTTCACTCGAGACAGGAAGAAACCACTAAAAAACACCCAGAGCAACCTACATAACAACACTCCAGCACCATAATGGTGAGTTTTCAACATCAGATAATGTCAAAATCTAGTCTGATTCCTGATGTTTCCATCTACACCTGACAGATAAATAATCGTTTTGAGTTCAAAAACAGACGTCGTTTGTCTGGAAAAAAAACCTTTTTGAGATGCAGGCTTATTAATTTATTCATGCACTATAATTGCTTGTCAAACTAAATGTCTTCAGATCATTTGAAAAATATTTTATTTCATCATTTTATTTGGCTCATTTAATTTGATGACAAATTTTTATTATTATTATTTTTTATATATAT